TTTTACAAAAATTAAACTGTAAAATAGTAAAAGATAGTAATAAGTATTGCATTTTATTAAAATTAATTTGAATTTTCAAATTTCTAAACTAAACTATTCAAACTTTTTTGCTCTAAAATTTGCAATGTTATCAAATTAAGTGTAGCAATAAAATTAAGAGTAAATGAAATATGAAAAATAATATATGCTTATGATATAAAATCAAAAAATTTGATAATTCTTAAAAATAATATTTTGATATTTTTTAAAAGCATTTAGTAATTTTTACTATACTTAATTTGCAAATATTTTTGTTGTAAAAATTTGAAACAAAATAAAATTTTGACAACTTTTAAACCAAATTTTCCCAAATATTCTGCCATAAAACTTGTCCTACTAAGACAAAATTGTTTTCTTTCGTAAAAATTTTCATAGCACATAAGAATAATAAATTATAATAATCGACATTTTCGGGAAAAACTTTTCCCGATTGAAGTGAAAAAAATATTTAAAATATGAATTATCAATTATTAATTTGCAACTCAAAATATGCAAATTAATTGCAAAAAAAAATTCATAATTTTGAATTGTTTTTTTCTACAAAATTAAAATTTTTAATAACTTTAAAAAATTCAAATTAGTTTAAATTAAACACGAGACTAATTCAATTCTAAATAAATATATTTTAAATATGTAAGCAAATGCAAACAAACTACCGTTTCCTTACAAGTCATTGAAATATACGATAAGCTTTTTTATGCGTGTAAAATTTATGATTAATTGACAAATGTGTACTTTAGCATTTGGAGTGAATGCTTGGAAAATTAAATTTTCGAGAATAAATCTGCCTTAAATACGTTTGTTTTTCACTCTACAAAAATAAAAATGATTACTAATCTCAAAAAATATTACGGTGGATTGTTGATTATCTAAAAAAATTACCATAGAACGAAATATGGTTACAAGTAACATTTTTTAGTCATTCTTGCAATAAATAAATAATGACTGAATGAATAAAAATTTATGGACTTAATAATCGACTACTAAATTTGATTGGATCGCTATTTTAATTTAATTAAATTTAATGATTTGAATAAGTTGAACTTAATCCTGAAAAAATTGATTACAAATATGCCAAAAAAAGGAGTATAATTTAGAAAATCTGATTTCAGTCAAAAATTAAGTAAAGAAAGTGGTCAGTACATCAGAATGTTCACGTAGAAAACATATGCATTTATATAATACAATTATATTTTTTAATTCTATCAACACCTATATGTATATTCAAATACTCAAATTACTTGTAGCAAAAATAAAAATAGAAACTAATATTTGCCAATAAATTTAAGTAATTTTTGGATTTACTAGAATTTATTGTACTAAAAAACTGAAAAAAAAACAATAAGTTTACTAAATAATAACTAATAATTATTTATTTAAAAATATAA